CGGAGCAGAGAGCCAGATGTGGGGCTCCATCCCAGGACCCCAGGATCATGACCTGAGCCGAAGGCAGAGGCTTTAACCCACTGAGCCACCCAGGCGCCCCCTTCCTTAGGTGTTTTAAGCAGAAAGGAATTTGATGCAGAGGCTTAATTGCCAGCTAAGTTCCTAGAATAAGTATGTATTTGTTTTGTTTGTTTGGCTATCAAATATATGGGGGCAGGGATTAGCTATTTTTTTCTTTTTTCTTTCTTTTGCTTTTGCATTGTCATCAGAGAATGATGTATTCTTTAGTGTTTGTTGAAAATATCCTCTGTGGGTTACAAGATCATCAATTTTAATGAACATTTGATGAGAGTTTGCAAATAATGTTTTCTTTATCCTTGCCAATTTTTTGCCTTCTTAATCAGTTGATTTCCTAGAAAAGAGCCTTAAAATGTTCCATTGTGAATTTATATATAATTTTTATATATTATATATAATATATATTTTATATATATATAATATATAAATTATATATTTTATATATATATTTTATTTATTTATTTATATATAAAATTATATATTTATATATATAAAATTATATATTATATATAATTTTATATATGTAATATTTATGTATAATATTACATGCACATATGCACACACGATAATATACACACATTTGAATCATCTAACATTTTATTTCTTGCTAAGTCACTGATGGATATTTCACAGTGTGTTTTAACAGTTCACTCACTGAAGGACAGCTGGCTTTCCCCACCCCCAGTTTCTGACTATTACAGATTAAACTCTATCAACATTTGTATACTAGGCATTTTTGAACAGTGCTATTTTTCTGTCCTCTTAGGTATATGCCTAGGAATGGAATAGCTAGATTGTATGGTAGGTGTATGTTTAACTTTATTTATTTTAAAATATCTATTTATTTATTTATTTTAGAGAGAGAGAAAGAGGGTGGAGGGAGAGGGAGAGAGAGAATCTCAAGCAGGCTCCCTGCTGAATGTGGAGCCTGATGTGGGGCTCGATGCAGAGCTTGATCTCACCACCCTGAGGTCAGGGCCTGAGCCGAAATCAAGAGTCAGATGCTTAACTGAGTGAGCCACACAGGCGCCCTGTAACTTTTAAAGAAACTCAGTTTACCAAAGTGCGTCTATCATTTCTGTTCCACCAGCAGTGTATGAGAGTTCTCTTTCTTCCACATTCTTGCCAATACATGCTTTGATCATAGGTGCATAGTCATATCTCATTGTGATTTTATTTTATTTTATTAAAGTTTTTATTTGAATAATCTCTATATCCAATGTGGGGTTCGAACTCACAAGCAGGAGATGAAGAGTTTCATGCACCTCTGACTGAGCCAGCCAGGTGCCCCACATTTTCCATGTCTTTCTGTCTCCCTGTTACTTTCTAGAGAATTGCCTCATTGCCACCTTCTTATCCCTTTCTCTTGAACAACCCCTCTTTTAAAGTTCTAATTTTAGGGGTGCCTGAGTGGCTCAGTGAGTTAAAGCCTCTGCCTTCAGCTCAGGTCATGATCTCAGGGTCCTGGGATTGAGCCCTGCATTGCATCAGGCTCTGCCCAGCAGGGAGCCTGCTTCCCCCTCTCTCTGCCTGCCTCTCTGCCTACCTGTGATCTCTCTCTCTCTCTCTTTCAAATAAATAAAATTTTTTAAAAAAAGGAAAGGAAAGAAAGAAAGTTACTCATATTGGCTTGTTGTTATCTGTAGCTCTTTGGTCTGATAGTCCTGTCTGCACATCTGCTAACTCTCTCATGTGGAGAGTTGTTCCCTCAGATCTTCATAACTCACTTATTATATAGGCATCTTCTGTGGGTGTTGTTTTCTCCCGGGTAATTCCATATGTCCTAGTTGTGAAAGTGTCCCTGGCTCTGATTCCCACAGGATCCCAGGGGTTTCAATGGTCCTGAATAAGATTTGGTGTTAATTTATCTCTTTGTGGTTTCCATACAGTACAGGTTACATGAATTTAGGTCCCATCTCTGGCATACACTTGGGGTTTAGTTTCTCCCACTTGTCTTTTTCTTTCTTTCTGTTTAAGGCTTCAGAAAAAAGATGCGCTTCCTTGAGGCCTCCACAGTGTACAGGCTGGGGACTTTCTGGTTTCCTGGGAGTGGAAGGGGCAGATCTTGAAGGATCCTGGCTTTATTTTGTATTTTCTTTTGAGAGAGTGAGGGAGGAGAGGAGGGGCAGAGGGAGAGGGAGAGAGAGAATCTCAGGCAGACTCCATACCCTGAGCCTGCAGAGCCCAACGTGGGGTCTGATCTCAGATCCTGAGATCATGACCCAAGCAGAAACCAAGAGTTGGATGCTTAACCTGCTGAACCACCCAGGAGCCCCAAGGGATTCAGGCTTTATGAAGGAGTTCCCCGTCCAACCTCCCACCACTTATGGCTCAGTGCCTTGTCTTCAGTCTTAAGTCCCTGGGTGAGTATTAGAACCCCAGCCCCAACCCCTGGAGCCTCTTTTTGGAACTTAGGAAACTCCAAATACATTATTGCTCTCTTCTGAAGAGAATCCACTGAGATAGATGGGGAAGTCTGACAGTGGAAATGAGCATTTCACCTTTACTACAATGAAGCAGTTTATTGAACAGAGGCAACAAAAGAATTACAACACTGCCTATAACCAAACTTGCCCTTGAGGCACAGACAGCATGGGAAAGTCTCAGTTCTGGTAGCACACCTGCACTCTTGAGTTTACTGTATAACCTAGGACAGATGAGAATGCACATTTTCTACAGGTGGAGAGGTACCAGAAAGGAGCAGCCAGAAGGGCTTGATCCAGACATGCCTGGCAGTTCCTTTTTTCAAACTCATAAATCACCCCTCTTCTCATGAGAAGGAGGGAGCCAATGAGTGAGTCCAAGAGTATTACTCTAAAGGAAGAAAGTTCCTTCACTGAGAAACAAGCCATGGGCATGTGGGGTGGGGGATAGTCAATCCCTTCTAAAGCTATCCAATGTGCTTGTGACTCTGGCTTTCATTCTCTCTTTCCTTTCTGAAATCTGGTGTATACTCTTTATTTTCAGTTAAACTGTATATTTAAGACTATTTGTGATATATTTTGCCCAGAATTTCCATGTTTGAGGCCAGGAGCTTCAGCTGTCATGTTGTTGGAAGTTCCTCTAGAGAATGTTTTCACAAAGGAAACAGGATGGCCTATTAAAATAGGGAAGTGCTAAAGGAGAACAGGCTGATTTAGACCTCTCTCCAGGTCTTTTCTAGACTTCGGAGGTTGCACCAAATAAAAGCTATTTGCTAATATGATTCTTTCCTTTATTAACTATAATAAACATGGGTATAGATCTCAGCATATCCAAATATATGTGTATTGACTTGCCGAGCCTAGTAGGTAAACACACTTTTAAGTATGTTTGATGCATGCAATTTGAATTTCTGGTCTTATATCTCATATCTTGCACAGTGTCATTTACACTCTCATGTTTTTATTAATCTGTTGTTATACAGTGATAAAGGTGCAGCTTCATCAAAGCACACCTTTATAGTGGGATTCCTTGAAGATATTTGAAAATAGTTCATAGCCAATGGGTTTTGATGAAATTGCTCTATTCAAGCAATTGCATTTTAGTTTTAATACAGTTTATATAAAGGAGAACTTAAAAGGCATTCTAAAAACACTAGGAAAGTATGTCTCTCATTTCTTGTGCATGCAGTCTAGGAAAATACCACATCCCTCCTCCCATCCTCATAAAACAAAACAGAACCAGCACTGAATTGAATAAAAGAGAAACTTATCTGTACTGCCACATCTGATCTTATTTCTCTTCTTGGAAATTGGCATGAACATAGTTTGTCCTCAATTGCAAGTCTTTACGTTTAGAAGGAGAAACATTTCAATATAGTAATGTAAAATAAGTGTAATTTTTTATTGAAATTTACTTACTTTGATAGGCGTTGCCCAAATATGGGCAAACATGTTCTGGGTTTATGTTATAGTGTCACCTCCTCAATTCTCACTGGTTGCACAGTTCTTACCCCATTTTATGGATTAGGAAACATGAGTTTTCAGAATTTATTGGCACCCATGTGGTGTTATATTATTTAAACTACCTACTTTATCCAAAGCCAAATGCAGTGTGCTCGTAGGACATATAGTAATACCCCAGAGTCTGAGGGAACAAAAAGATCTTCGAGCATGCAGTTTTAGCATCTGATCCTTGAATAGCACTCGTGCTAGCATCTAGCATGCTTGAGATTTTCAAGCATATCTGCTCTGTCCATCTCACCTCCCGAGTGTACCCATCACCTCAGAGACTTTCCCTACCTTCTTCAGAGAAGATAAAGAAGGGACACCCAAGCAGGTTTGGAGGGTATGGGGGTGGGGAGGAGTATGAGATGGGCTACGGAGAGGTTTCTGAAGTGACATTAGTTTCTTTCATTTCCCTTCCGTCGAGAGGCTTCCTCACTTCCCCAGCCCCTCTGTCCTCCCTCACGATCGAGTCCAATATTTTTCCGGTTTTACTTCCCTTCAGTCCTTGCAGTCTCCTGCTCAGCCCCGCCCGCCCCTCTGAGCCCGCCCCTCCGTGACCGCCCCTCCGTGACCACGCCCCTCCGTGACCACGCTTCCCCCTAGGTTCCTCCTTCCCCGTAGTCCTGCTAGCTCCCCGTCATGCCTCTGTTCCCTGCCAATCACGCTGGACCACCCTCTCGGCCCGCCCCGAACGCACACCCCAAAGGTCAGTGGCCTCGCCGGCGGGCGGACAACCGGGGGCGGTGGAAAGATGGAGTGTGCGTTTGGAGGCTTCTCCGAGGAGCAGTTCCAGAAGGCCTGTGACGAGCTCCAGCAGTTCGGGCGGGTCGGGAATGACTGGGAGCTGCTGATGGAGCACGAAGGTTTCAAAATCTACAGGCGGCTGGACGAGGTAGCACCTGGCCCGCTGGAGGAGCCTGGATTGTCGCTCACCAGGGGCACGCTTCCCGGGGAGTGTGGGGTTCAGGCCGCGGAAGTCAGGACCTGAGTTGGTCACGCGGAGCTGGGAAGAGCGAACATAGGGGGCAGTGCCTGCAGCTGACTGCCCCCTGCCGCTGGGAGGGCATCCAATTCAACCTCGGGTCTGAGGGCCGAGGGGGAGTGGTCCTCTGGAAGTTAAGCGTGGAGTTAAAACATGGATTTCCTGAGTCTTGGCCCCATGCACTTTCCTGCAAGGGACGTAGATACCCCTCCCGGGTGGGTGCCACTGGTGTGTGTGGGGGTGTGTGTGTGGGGTGTGTGTGTGGGGGGGTGTGTGTGTGGGGAAAACCTTAGGGTTTGCATATAGGTGGCAAGGAGACTGGACTTCTCGGAGACTGGCTGGGTATGCAGGATGATAGTGTGAGTGCCAAGCAGCGTGCCTGAGAAGGAAGCTACTGTCATCTCCCATTTTAGTGGCTTGTTTCTGTTCACGGCTGCCGCATCTTTGCAAGATGCACTTAATATGTTCGTCTGAAGCTTTAGGGAGAAAGTTTAATTTAAAGGGCAGGAGGAATGGAGTTGGTTATTAAGCAAGTCGCCAGGTGCTCCCAGAGGCCTTTGAAACCAGGTAGCTAGCTTTGAAACTAGGTAGCAAGCTATCCAGGTGGAAAGATTGCAGTGCACCTGAGATCTGTTATCAGTTACCCTGTGATAGCAGCTGCATGACGCACGGGTTAAAAAGTCACCTTTAGGCAGGGTAAGTGAAATCAAGGCTGAGAAGTAAGGAGGCATTCTGAGTGGGTGTGTAGCAGAGCCACAGGGTGTACAAGATGAACAAGCTCACAGCCCAGAGCAGGGAGAATTAATTACTGAGTGTAATTTCAGTCGTTCAGTCCAAAAATGGACATCTTTTCAGACAAAATCCTTTATTCTATTTCATTTTCCTTACCAGCAACATTCAGGCATTTGCCAGGTTTTGTCAATGTGACTGCTCAGACATTCTGATAACTGGCCCACTTCCCTTCCCTCTTCTTTCCTTTGTGGCTGCCACTTCGGATGCTACCTCTCACCTAGAATTGCCGTGACCTCTTTAACTAGTTTCCTGGCCTTCCACCTCTCTGATCCCTTCCCTCCTACATGTTACAGTCTGCTCAATCACCTGAAGAAAAACCTGTGGTCTTAACCACTCTGCTTTCAGAGGCACTGTTGGTTGCAGAATTAATGCTAAGAATATCTAGTGTAATAGCTCACACATTGCAGGCTTTCTTATGTTCCAGGAAGTGCTTAAGTGCTTTATAGGTATTGACCTACTCTCCACGTCAGTCTTTTTTTTTTTTTTTTTAATTTTTATTTTATTTAAATTCAAGTTAGTTAACTTGAATATACTGTAGTATGGTTTCAGGAGTACAATTTAGTAATTTATTCCTCACATTCAACACCCAGTGCTCATCCTAGTGAGTACCCTCCATCACCCATGTAGCCTATCCTACCTACCTCCCCTCCAGCAGCCCCAGTCTCTTAACAACAGACTCTCTTATTGTTTGCCACCCTCTCTTTTTTTATTTTTCCTTGCCTTTCCCTTTGTTCATCTCTTTTGTTTCTTAAATTCTACATGAATGAAATCATGGTATTTGTCTTTCTCGAACTTATTTTGCTTAGCATAACACACTCTAGTTCCATTCATATTGTTGCAAATGGCAAGATTTCATTCATTCATTTTTTTTTTTTTTTTACTGCAAAGAAAATTTATTTTACATATTGCCAGCCATGAATTTTTGTCGTTGGTTCACATAAATCTGCCTTAGTGCCACTATCTAAGTGGCAGGACCATTTTATGTCCACACTTGTATTTACAAAGAGAATTTTGATGACTTACATAAATGCAACTCTGAGTGGGTTTAACAATGGAGATGCAGTCTAACATCCATAATGACAGCAATGTAGGAGAGATGTGTTTTTTTAATATAATTTTTTAATTTTTTTATAAACACATAATGTATTATTAGCCCCAGGGGTACAGGTCTGTGAATCGCCTGGTTTACATACTTCACAGCACTCACCATAGCACATACCCTCACCAATGTCCATAACCCCACCCCCCACTCGCTACTCCCCTCCCCCCCAGCAACGCTCAGTTTGTTTTGTGAGATTAAGAGTCTCTTATGGTTTGTTTCCCTCCCGATCCCGTCTTGGTTCATTTATTCTTTTCCTACCCCCCAAACCCCCCACATTGCATCTCCACTTCCTCATATCAGGGAGATCATATGATAGTTGTCTTTCTCCGATTGACTTATTTCGCTCAGCATAATACCCTCTAGTTCCATCCACGTCGGAGATACGTGTTTTTAATTACCTTTCATTTGCGTGACCTTACTTAAGATATAAATTGATGATTTAGAAGTTCTTAGTCTCCTAAGGAGATTTTCAAAAGTGCTTATAGAAGGAGTTAGTGAGATTTTTAAAAAAACATCTTCCATGTCCACATCCTGTTGTAATTTCTGCACCATTTTTTCTTCCAGGTGCTTTTCTTTGCCTGCAGGAGGGTCCCAGATAAGATGAGTGTTTTGCTTGACTTCTTTGATATCCTGAACTTTCTCTAATTCTTTATTTTTCTTTAATCCGTTCGTTATAAATTTAGCTTGGCGCTTCTGTTTGATCTCTTCAACTCTCTTCATTGCAACAGTAGTTTTATTCCACAGCTCTCGCTGGTATTTGACAGGTTCATTTCTACGTTTTTCAAATTCAAATAAATTATCCACTGTAAGCTCTTTACCAGCTGCTTTACGGAATGCTTTAGTCCACCTGAACTTGCGAGGATTCTGCTTCTTTTTAAAGTTTTTATGACACTTGGATTTACAGAATCTGAACACCTTGCAGTCGTTGCGAACAAACATCATGCCATGGCTGGAGTAAATAGGGCCTGAACAGAAATGACACCTCTCCAAGATTTCATTCTTTTTGATGGCAGAGTAATAGTTCTTTGTGTATATTTACCACATCTTCTTTGTCCATTCGTCAGTCCATGGACATTTGGGCTCTTTCCATATTTTGGCTATGTTGATAATGCTGCCGTAGACATTGGGCTGCATGTGCCTCTTCCAGTCAGCACTTTGTATCCTGTGAATAGATACCTAGTAGCCTCACGTCAGCCTTAATGTCAGATACTGTAATTCTCACCTTTTTTTTACCTATATGAAAAGGAGTATGTGGCGAGGTTGATTGCTGAGGGTTTGAATTGGAATCAGAGCTCAGCTTTCCACTTCCAGGCCTGTGCTATAAATAGGCTCCTTCCTGCTCTCCCTCTCTGAAAGAAGGCAAATGCTGCCATGTAGGCCATATAGATCTTTCTCACCTTATGATGGGTTTACATCCTAATAATCTCATCATAAGTTGAAAATATCTTAAGTCAAAAATGCATTTGATACACTTCCCCTACTAAACATCATAGCTTAGCCTAGCTGATCCTCACTGTGCTCAGAATGCTTTCATTAACCTACAGTTGGGCTAAAACATCTAACACAAAACCGATTTTATACTGAAGTGTTGAGTATCATGTAATTTATTGAATAGTGTACTGAAAGTGAGGAACAATGATCGTATGGGTACAGAACAGTTGTATCAGTTGTCGACCCTGTGGCTCACAGCCCCTGCGCAGCAACAGGAGAAGATACTGTACCACATATCACTAACCCTGGGAAAGATCAAAATTCCAAACTCAAAGTACAGTTTCTATTGAATTCGTATTGCTTTTGTGATTTTGTAAAGTTGGAAAAATGGTAAGCTGTACTGTCAGAAATTGTTGACTGTACTGAACTAGTTTGGGTCCAACTTACATTTCCAGCTTTATTTCCCTGACTCATCTCCACATCCCCTGTCCTCTAGCCAGCCCAGACCACTCTACTCTTTACCCCTCCAATGGACCTGTGCTCTTTTGCTTTTGTGCCTGTGAGCTGAGGCAGTGCCTGGCTTCGTACTGTGTATTGTTTTCATTGTGTATTTTTCCGTAGCAGAGCCCGCTTCCCTCTGGTGGGGAGGATTTCAGTGGTCTTTAGAATAGCTCCCACCCCTACTAAGCATTGTATATGTCTTATTTCAACCTGCTCTGAGATGAGGGAGGGGGGTCATGCTACACTGATGTAAATCACAGGTGCTCCCAGGTAACTGCTCTAAAGTTTGAAGGGCCATGGGATTCTAGTAGGTGTGCCCTTGGGCCTCAGCAGCTAGGATGAAGGGCCATCCATGGCCACTTTGAATTCCATCTGTATTAAAATAGCAAGCGGCTCTGTTGGGTCAGGGTATGAGCCCTTTCCTAGAATCCTTACTGGGTTCTAGCAGCATTATTTGCTGCCTGGCCCACTTTGCTTAAAGCTTCATTTTCTTTCCAGGTTGACTCCCATGTTTTACCTTCCTCCCAGAAAAGAATTCCCTCTAATTTCTAGTTAAGAAATCTTTTCATCTGAATACCACACCTTATCAAAAGTGAAATCACCTTGCCCCACACTCTGGGTAGACCTGCACCTATCTGCCCCAAAGCCCTTTATCTGTCTTATGTGCCAGTGGTGTTTAATTCACTCTTCATGTTACTGTTACATGTCTTTTCTTCTACCCACCCAAGCCATTTTACCCACATGAGTGCATATGGCCTTGGGTCCTCAGGCCCAAGGTCCAGCTGGGGGTCAGACCAGAAGACCGGGGGCCCCTCTGTCAATCTTCATCTTGATTAATCTACCTGACCATTTGTGCAGGTGAGTCCAGGTAAGGTTTTTTCTTGTAGTCTTTGCTTTCCAACAACTGGGATAAACAGAGTGGACTTATCTGGGACCCTTTAATGTTGAAGGGCCACCAGGGGGTCCCTAACTTTCAAAGATGCTGTATTAAGCCTTTTGCCTCAACCCCATCAATATCTGCTTCATTCATCCTATTTCTAAAGAACCATCTAAAGATTTTGACTCTATTGAGATGAGTGCCTTGAGTCCCCCCGTCTTTCCCCATTTTCTTGTTAATTACTCTAATATTTTTTTAAGATTTTATTTATTCATTTGACACAGAGAGAGATCAGAAGTAGGCAGAGAGGCAGACAGAGAGAGGGGGAAACAGGCTCCCCACTGAGCAGAGAGCCCGATTCGGGGCCTGATCCCAGGACCCTGAGACCATGACCCAAGCCGAAGGCAGAGGCATAACCCACTGAGCCACCCAGGCGCCCCTAGTTACTCTAACTTTTCTTGGCATCTGTAAGACCCATAAAGGGAAACTGAGAAGGGTAATCTGGTAAATCTTCTTGGGTTGCTCGAGTTTTGCAGGAGTAAATTTACATGTAGTGCCCATGCAAAAGGGACCCTCTTTATCAAAGTGTTTATCATGATTTGTGTAAGGAGCATGTTTTTTTTTTTTTTTTAAGATTTTTATTTATTTATTTATTTGACAGAGAGAGAGACAGAGAGAGAGTGCACGCACAAGCAGTGGGGGAGGTGCAGAGGGAGAGGGAGAAGCACGCCTCCCACTGAGCAGGGAGTCAGATGCAGGGCTCGATCCCAGGACCCTGGGATCGTGAACTGAGCCAAAGGCAGACACTTAACAGACTGAGCCACCCAGGCACCCCAAGGACCATATTCTGTAGATGACTATCCGCATTGTAATAAAGCCAGGCCTACATCTGGATCATGTTTAGCCATTTATGTCGGTCCATTGTGAGCTCTGATGATGATCTATTATTACGTGTTTTGAAAAGGTTGAAGTAAGTATAGAGGCATTTGAGTTTTCCACTGTAACAATTAAATTATATTTTAAAATTAAAAAAGATTATAGCTTTTTTTAAAAGTAGATAACTAATTCTGAATCATGTTCTTGGATAGATGGCTACTTTCGATATACAGTATTTTGATACTTTTTAATTTCCTCCTTTCCTATTAAATCACAGAATTTTTGGACTTTGAAAGTTTCTTTGAAACCATTCTGTCCAACACCATCATCTTTTCTGTTCACTTCTTTTCTGTACTCCCTTTGCCTGCTCTGTTTCCATTCTCTTTTCTCTTTTTCTCCTCCCCAGGTGGTAATATGAATAACTTACCTTTACATGGTGATTTAATTTAATGCTATCACGTGTAAGTTTCCTTTATCCCTGTAAACCAATCTGGAAGGTAGGTAGGGACAAGCTTATTTACCTATTTTATAGTTAGAAATAAGACCCAGAGTTGTGAAGTGAGCAGCATGAGACCTTGTGACTGGTAACTAGACACGAACCAGCCTGCTTTGGTAAGCTCAACACCAGATTTACAGCTTGGTTCAAGGCAAGAACTACTTTCTGGAGACTGGGGGAAACCAGCCCAAAGCTGCCATGTGGTATTATGGGGAGAACATGGGTTTTGGAAGCAGCTTGTCCTGGGTTAAAATCCCCATTATGTCTACTATCATTCATCTTTACATTCAGAGAATGTTCATCAGATGCCTCCCATCCCTCACAGGCACTGGGGATAAGCAGTGAATAGGAAGACGCACCCACTGTTTGAACGAATGACACTCACTGATGAGAATAAACGCATGGTATATAATGAAATGTTGGGTGAAAAATGCTATGAATAAAGTAAACTGGGATGAAGGGATAGAGAGGTGGTGTGGCAGTGGTAGCTGTGGGTGATGTGATGTGTTTAAGATGAGGGAATCTGGAGAGCCCCTCTGCAGAGGTTAACATTTGAGTGGAGATAGGAATGAAGTGGGAGATGGCATCATGCAACTTTCTGGAGCAGAAACGTACCAGACAGTGTTTGTCAAAGCTCACGCACATTAGAATCACCCAGGAAGCTATAAAGACATGATCACCCCATCCTGGATCCCAGGTTTAATTGATCTGGGTTGGGGCTTGGGTAGTCCTTTGGAAAAATTCCCCTTTCATTATTGGGGCTCATCTACTCCCCCCCCCTACTTTTGTGTGTGTTTGAAATGCTTCATAATAAAATGATTTGTTGTTGTTTTTAACATTAAGGCTTCCCATGAGATTCAAATGGACATGCTGGGTTTTAAATCACCGTGGTGGAGGGAATGCTGAGTGTGAGTCCCTAAGCCAGGCTGAGCTTTTTAGCAGGGTGATAAAGTTACTTTTTCTTACAAAACAAGGACAGTATTTACCTTTCAGGATGATACTGACCTCTCAACAGTCATGAAATGAAATGATATATGGCAGTGTGGTACTCAGACTTCAGCATGCAGCAGAATCACCCACAGGGTCTGTTAAAATTCAGAATCCAGACTCCACTCCCAGTTTCTGGTTCAGTGGATTGGTATGGGGCATGAAAGTTTGCATTATATTTCTTTTTTCTTCTTCTGTTGGTGTTTTATTTCTAACCAGTTGCCAAGTGCTGCTGAAGCTACCAGTCCAGGGACTACACTTTTGAGTATCACCGATGTATGGGACATCCAGCATGGTGTTGGGGGACGGAGTGTGGGGGTTCTGATGTCAAGAGGAGGGGAGTACCTTACAGAAGATGTAGAAATGGAAAGGTGAGAGTGGAAAAAAGGAATATTGTAAGACAAAAGCAACGTCCAGTTGAGGTCTCACTCTTCTTGATTTTTAAGTTAGTGGCCACTTGGGAGTGAATGTTGACCTCTGAGCTGTGCTGAGCAGTCAGTCCTGCGGGTAGAGGAGGGCCACAGGCCACTTACAAAAGCATTCCCAGTGATCTGCAGTCAGGTCTTGTTGGAGCTTTGGGCTGTGTTACCATCCCAGTGGACCGTGTGACATGCCAACAGACAGTCTGAAAGCAGTCTGCAGGGCTTCACATCCTCAATTTAGACCAAGCGAATAGTGGTCTGAGCTGATCTGGTTAATGGCTTGACTTCTTAACATTTATAAGTCTGAACGTGTGGCACTGTGCGAAGCGACTGTCTGCATTGTGCCTCTGTCCTTTCATCGGGTCTTCTAATCAAAGAGTGTGGTGAGGAGCAGACAGTTCTTTCCCAGGAACTGTTCTTTTCAATGCTGTGCACCTACTGAATTACAAAACCCCAGCACTCTTAGGAAAATTGTGTTTAGCCAGGCTGAGTAAGAGAAAGTCTGGCCTTTCAGAGGGAAACACAGATTAAACTCCCACAAGAACAGATTTATCTCCATGGATAAAAAGTTTTCAGTACCACCCCCACAGGAGATATCATGATCTGATTTGCGTCATGAGTGTCTCCCAGATGCTAGGACAGTTCTGCCCCTTCTCTCACCTTTCTGCCTCTCTGCTAAGGGAAGAGGAGTGACCACCATGAGTGATAGAACAGTTATTGAACCTGAGACACTTACCAAGTCATATTTTACTAGTGGGCCATGTCTGAGTGCAGAGCACCCATGTGTGGCACGCTTCTGCCTGGTAGAGATGGAGGCCAGCTCTTATGCTCTCTTGCTCATGCTCTCTCTCCCTCGTCCTTTTCCATCTTCCTGAGCACACAACTGGTTGGATGTGTCAGAGCCTCAGGTCTTCCCCTCCTCACTTCTCTCAGGATGAACATGTGGTATGAGACTGTATGAGAATGTTGGTACCAAGATTTAAATTGGGGGGATGAGAGTAGAGGGGTTAGGACATCCCCTTCTGTCTCTAGATATAAGCCAAACTTTGTGCCCTCACCCTGTCTTTCATCAAATTCCTATATGGGATTCACAGGAGGTGACTATTAATAAAACTCTGATTGTCTATGGGCCTTGGGCACCCTTTGAGAGGAGAAGTGACTTGCCAGTAAGGATCTGGACATTCTGGATCCTTGGTCATGATACCATACCAATATCAGGGTGAACCAGGGCTGAACTGGAGCAATGGAGAGTGAAATAAGGTTCTTGCTTCGTCTTCCAACCTTCTTTTGATATCAGAGTCACCATGTGTGGGCAGAAGGAGAATTCTAGTGGACCTCCAGTGGGAATAGTTTGTTTTTTCACAAGCTCACCATCCCCTGACATTATTTTGTGAGGCTAGTTTATCCTTCAGAGAAATTATGCAAATGAATATATTCTTTTTTTTTTTTTTTTTTAATTTATTTTGACAGAGAGACAGCATAAGAGGGAACACAAGCAGGGGGAATGGGAGAGGGAGAAGAAGGCTTCCTGCTGGACAGGGAGCCCAACGCGGGGCTCCATCCCAGGACCCTGGGATCACAACCTGAGCTGAAGGCAGACGCCTAACAACTGAGCCACTCAGGTGCCCCACAAATGAATATATTCTTGTAAGAAAGGGAGCATCCGGGGCACCTGGGTGGCTCAGTTGGTTGAGCGACTGCCTTCAGCTCAGGTCATGATCCCAGTCCCGGGATCAAATCCTGTGTAGGGCTCCCAGCTCCGCGGGGAGTCTGCTTCTCCCTCTGACCTTCTCCCCTCTCCTGCTTTCTCTCACTTTCTCTCTCCAATGGATAAATAAAATCTTTTAAAAAAATTATATATAAAAAAAGGGAGATCCATGCAAATATGAATCTTTGAATTTTAGCCTGGGACTTTTAGTGTGTTTTTAAGACCCAAAAAAGCTTAGAGATAGACCTAACAATCTTATCTTGCCATTTAGTTTAGGATAGACATGTTTCCATAGCTACCTTTGGGTTAATGAAAAGAAAACTCCAAATTATTTGTCCATGTACTCATTCAAGTGGTCTTTAGGACCTGTTGTGTACCTGGCATTATGCTCAGCCCTGGTGATACCTGATGAGTAAGACAAAGTTCATACCTTCAAGAAGCTTGAAGACAATAAAACAGGTACTTTTTATGTTATGTAGATCTGAGTTCCTGACTTATCATTTTTTTTCTTTGAACATCTTTTAACATTTCTTCCATAATAGGTCTCTGCTGATGAATTCCTTCAGTTTTTATTTGTCTGAAAAACTTATTTCTCCTTCACTTTTGAAGGACAGTTTCATTGGATATAGAATTCAAATTGATGGCTTTTTACTTTCAGTATACTATATATTTTACTCCACTCTTTTTTTACATGGATGGTTTCTGATGAGGTGTCTGGTGTAATCCACATGTATGTTCCTCTATAGGTCAATTTTCTTTTTCTTTTCTGAGTTTGAATAAGATATACTTAAGACTTTTTGGTATTTATCTGGTATGGTGTACTTTATTGGCAGCTTTACTTTGAAGGGTGGTCTAAGTCTACATGGTAAACACCCATGTGACTCACAATATAAATATGAATCTTATGACACAAATCTTCCTCTCTTATATGTATCATTGCAATACCACAGGAAACTGTACTAACAGCAATTCAATGGGGTTTATTTTTCTCACTTAACAAGTAGGGCAGAACTCTGGAAAACAGTATAGGGTTTCCTCAAAAAGTTGAAAATAGAGCTACCCTATGACCCAGCAATTGCACTACTGGATGTTTGCCTTAAAGATACAAATGTAGTGATCCGAAGGGGCATGTGCACCCAAATGTTCATAGCAGTGATGTCCATCCACAATAGCCAAACTATGGAAAGAGTCTAGATGTCCAGATGTCCATCAACAGATGAATGGATAAAGTTAGATACACACACACACACACACACACACACACACAGGAATACTATACAGCCACCAAAAAAACTGAAATCTTGCCACTTGCAACAATGTGGAGGGAACTAGAGGGTATTATGCTGAGCGAAATAAGTCAATCAGAGAAAGACAATTATCATATGATCTCCCTGATATGAGGAATTTGAGAAACAAGACAGAGGATCATAGGCAAAGGGAGGGAAAAATGAAGCAAGACAAAACCAGAGTGAGAAACAAACCATAAGAGACTCTTAATCTCAGAAAACAAACTGAGGGTTGCTGGAGGGGAGGGGCGTGGGAGGGATGGGGTGGGTGGGTGATGGACATTTGGGAGGGTATGTGCTATGGTGAGCGCTGTGATTTGTGTAAGACTGATCAATCACAGACCTGTAGCCCTGAAACAAATAATACATTATATGTTAATTAAAAAAAAAAAAGTAGGGCAGAAGTCAGTGGTTGCTGGCACTGGTGTAGCTGATCAGTGATGCCAGTAAAACGCTTGCGTCTTTTTACTCTTTATCCTCATGTTGATTACCTCTTCATTACAAAACAGCTGCTGCAGCTCCAAATATCCATATTCAAACCTGCATAGACCACCAGCAAAGTTAACTGTGTATACTGCCACAGAGGTTCTCTTAGCAAGAAAGAAGGTACTGTATGCTATGCAAAATCTTCTGTTTCTTCTGGTTATTGTATTCTACAGAAGATATTTACTGATTCTCTACCACTGAATAATTTTTACTTTATTTATAAATGGAGCATTACAAAAGTATACACTGTGTTTTACAACATGATAAAGAAATGGAGACATGCTTAGAAATGGTTTCTGGAGGAGCTTCAGGAAAGGCAGTAACCTCTTGCCTAAACTTTTTTGGAATCATTTATTGAAGTACTAGTAATTTTAGAGACATATATGCAGAAAGATTTTATTTCTAATTTTTTTAAATTTAATTTTTTTGCGTGTGTCCCAAAATTCATTGTTTATGCATCACACCCAGTGCTCCATGCAATACGTGCCCTCCTTAATACCCACCACCAGGCTCACCCAACCCTCCACCCCTCTCCCCTCCAAAACTCTCAGTTTGTTTCTCAGAGTCCACAGTCTCTCATGGTTGTCTCCCCCTCCGATTTCCCCCAGCTCACTTCTCCTCCCCATCTTCCAATTTTAAAGAGACCTTACACATCAGTAATAAAAACTGCCCCAATCAAGCTAAGTTTCATGCTTTTCCCTATCAAATTGTTTGTATAAACAATGGTACCCAGTCCTTTTGAGATGCTCCTGTGCTGCTGGCAAGAATATAAATTGGTACAAACTTCTTAAAGGTTTATAAGCATAAAGAACCTTAAAAGGGTAATACTCTCTACCCCCAAACTTCTAAGGAAGTTTTTGTAATGAAAAAATTAGAATTATGGACAAACTTGGTCCATATGAAATGATAGATTATTCCAGGAATATTTATATTTTAAAAATATTGGGAATGTTGACTCATGAGAAGCATTAAATTAGGTTTGATCTCTCCATAGCTTGTTAAAAATAAGAATACAAGTTCAAACCATATCATTCCCATTTTGTAACATACACAAGTATTTATGTGCTTAAGTATGTCAAATATTAAAGTAGGTCTTTGTGGATTATGGAGTTACATGCCATTTTTATTTTCCGTACTCTCTTTTTTTGGCATGTTCTACTTCTCCTATAATGAATATTATTTCTACAGTTATAAAAAAATTCATTTTTTAAAGACAATTTGCTGAGATCCTTTTTAGAAAGAAATAATGGGTGAAAAAGTGCCTTGATCCAAGAATTTGGGTGGCCTCTACATTACTTGAAAAGAACATTTAACTGATAAGTGAGGGAAGTGGTACCAAGTATTTTGTTCCTCTGGAGTCCTGGCAATTCTCAGTTCTGCCACGAAGGGAGTGTTTAAAGGAAATTGTAACAATAGTTCATTCTTCTGTATTCACGTAAATCACATTGTTCTATTTTTCTCTTCCTAAGAGGGCTTTCTGTTTTTCTTTTTTGTAAAATGTATAGGACTGAGGTCACTTAGGTCAGTGACTAAATTCAGAAGGGGGAAGGGAACACTTTAAGGAAACAGTTTGTCTTAATTTATCCAGATAACCAGTTAATTCATGTGAGCTGAGATGACCATCTCAACACATACTTATCCCTTTTGCTCAGTCAGTGTGTACAGAAAGTGGGGCCCCAATATGTTTGAACAGGGAACTAATGGTCTCTCTTCCAAAGATGATTTATAAACAAGTGGGTATATATAAACCCTCACCATCTTCCTGTATGTGTAGGGGAAAGGACAGAAGAGAGAAGGAGATGTTTCTCCTGATGTTTGCCCTTCCTTTGGGATATCCATGGCACAGCCCGTGAGGGGTTCAGATCTACTAGTTTGTCATTTGCTGGTTGGAAACCCTTGGTATAAAGTCATATACTTCTAGATCTGGAAGAATTTTATGAATTCAGTTCCAATGCCATCTTCCATTTCTTACCAGGTATTTTAATGTATCTGTGAGATTCCTAAACTGGGACGTGTTTTTCCCTGGGTTATACTCCCTGAACTAGGAAGCACTTGCAGCCTCAAGATCTCTAGAAAGCTTCACCATGTTTACCTCTTGACTTCATGTAACTCCTTGGCATTGGGTTTAAGAGGATAGTTTTATTCATGTTCACTAGTCAATAACATTTCTTTAGCACGTGGAATAATGTGTCACTCTAAAAGCATCATTTTTATTTGCTTTTGCATGGAAAAGCCTTTGGTTTAATCTTAAGGACAGAGCCTTTAGGCAAGGGGAGAGTCAGGAATTGTTAGCTGCTGTTGGACAGATAATGAAATGTGTAGTATGGCCTACTCCAGCCCAAACCCTCACAAAGGAGGATATGGCCTCACCTGAAAAAAAAAAGGGGGGGGGCAGGGGAAGACTCTCTTATACTTTCAAATCTAGAAAGGTTTTTTATCCCCCACCGAATAAAGGGGAGTAATGTGATTTGACGCTGCTGTTATTTCCTTTATACACAAATTCCTTAAATAAAAAAGAAGCTGTTGAAAAATTTTGTCTTGGAATTGATAAAAACAATGTGTTGGGTTTCATTATGACCTGTGGATGTCCAAAATAGTAACCTGTCCCCCTGAATGCTAGCTGCCTATATGACACTCTCACTGGGATGTTTAATAAGCATCTCAAACTCAAAAGTAGAATTCTTGATTTCCCACAGCCCACAAATCACCTCTTCCCAACTTTTCTCTGTCTTAGAGCATGGAGCTCCCATGCTGGGTGTTCAAGCAGAGGTTCTAAGACGTAATTCTTCTTTTTCTCTTTACCCACAGGCAATCTGCCAGCACTTCCTGCTGACATTACTTCTAAATATATCCCTAAATCACTGCACTTCTCTCCATCACATTGTCACCTCCTCGTTCAGATTCCCATCATCTCTTATCTGGACCATTACACTGGTCTTCAAATCCATCTCCTTGCTCCCTTATGATTACTTTCTACCAAGCATCAAGAATCATCTCTTTATTTATTATTCCCCCCAATTAAAGTCACTCATTGGTTTTCCTCAGTAGTTAGAACAAAATCCTTACCCCTTACCCTGGTTTACAAAGCCTTTTTGAAGTCTGCCTCCCATTACCTCTATGAACTCAGCTCCGACCATTCTCCCCCCATCCATGGTTCTCTGGACCCTGTGACTTTCTGTTCTTTCAGCATGCCAGTCCATCAGTCAGAGGGCTTTCTTCCTACCAGGAATGAGTTTTCCTTAATTTTCCATTACGGCTCCTAATATTTAGAATAAGATGTTCTGATAAAGGTTCTCTCTCATAGAAGCCTTTCCTGACCACCTAATTACATAGGGAAACCCCTCCCCACCAATCCAGGCACCACTAAATATAGAACTTTCCTAATATTCTATTCAAATTTCCTAGATATCATTTATAGCCACTACCACCACCAATGTCTACAAGCAAATATAAGACTCATGAGAGCAGGAACCTCATCTGCTTTTTCATCATCATGTCACCAAGACCACAGAGGATGTTGTCACTAATGGTGTTGAGCGTACAGCTGTTTTTCATATGCTGTGTAACCCAGCTGTCTCTCAATTTGGGAATCAATAGGTTATTTCTGCCTGTTCTGTTTTTATAGCAGACTGGACTTTATGCGTATAAAGTCTTTGGTATTCTGGATGATTGCCCACCGGCTGTGCTGGCAGATATCTATATGGACTTAGACTACAGAAAACAGTGGGACCAATATGTTAAAGGTGAGTAACACTTATTATTTTTTTTTTTTAAGATTTTATTTATTTATTTGGCAGAGAGAGAGGGGGACAGAGATCACAAGGAGGCAGACAGGCAGTCTGAGAGAGAGGGGGAAGCAGGCTCCCTGCTGAGCAGAGAGCCCCATGCAGGGCTCGATCCCAGGACCCCGAGATCATGACCTGAGCCAATAGCAGCGGCTTAACCCACTGAGCCACCCAGGTGCCCCGACTTACTGTTTTTTAAAGTCATCTAGAAAGTAGAATCTGTTGTTATTCTAGCCAGTAGAAAGCAACAGGTTTAATCTCTACTGTTTCATTTTTAATTTTGTCATGAAAGTCTTGAATCCTAGGCTGGAACATGTCTTTATGATTCCTTGCATACTCTCAAATGCCATTCTTCAGTTTGCTCCAAGGCCTACTTTGTTCTCACTGTAATTTTGTCATCAACCCATATATCCAAGTAGTCACAGAAGGCTTCTTGGAGGAGGCAGTGTTCAAGCTTTGTTTTGGAAGTTGAATCAAAGTTTTATAAACAACAGGAATGCAAGCAACAACAACAACAAACAACACAAAACAAGAACATGTATAGGAGAGAAAGTGAGAAGCTGAGAGGGTAAGGGGGTGAGTGGTTCGAGGCCATTTGAGGCCCGGGGAACAGCATGAGTAAAGCAAGGAAGGCATGAAACAGCATGGCATGTTCAAAAACTGAGCAATTTGGTTTTATTGGGTTGTTGGGGTAGCAGAATCTAGAGCTAGGGTGGGAGAAAGGTCAGATCCCCAGGGGCCCAGCTTGGCCACCAGGCTACAATGCTTAGATTTGACCCTGAAAGTGATGGACAACTAGGAAAGGCACGAAAGAGGTGATCCTCCTGTCGCTTAGAGCTGGGAGTGGCGTCCGCCATTCAGTCATGGAGGACTAGAACTGCAGAACTAGCCCTGGGCCCTGAAAAGATTCTTGCCAGAGTCAGGATGCTTGGTTGCAAGCAACAAGAACTTAACAAATGCCAGTGTGAGAAAAGGAAAAAGAGTATCGGTTCATGGCATTGAAAAGTCCAGGGGTTTCTGACCTCCAGGACACTGCATCTAATATTTAAATGCTTTTACCATCTGGATTCAGTTTTCTTCTGAGTTGACCCAGTTCTCAGGCAGATCGTTATATCATGGCAAAGATGGCCCCCAGATGATCCAGGCTTATAGTCTCACCATATAAATAACCCCACAGGAACAGAAATGAACATTCCACTTTTCTACTCGTGGTAGCCAGATTCCCACAATTTGCTGTCATGGCATCCTGTGGATGTTTGTCATGGTTTTGGTCTCTTAGTGTTTTCAAATACCATTCCTGTCTGGGGTGAATTGTGATGCTCCTCTGTTTAGGGGAGAAGCCAGATGTTCTCCGTCCCAGTCTCCTTAGCAGCCATGGTTCAATGGTGTAATACAGATGTTGCCAATAAGACAACATGCAGCTTCAATTTGAGAGAGAACAACATGAGCAAGCAGGGAGCATCATGATCAATTTTCTGGTGATGGTAGGGCTAAGCCTAGCCATTCACGCTAGGGTGTCTAGTCTAGTCACAACAGTAGCTTGGCTTCTCTGGTACAATCCTCAGGTCCTAAGCCTAACTCTGGTCCTTCTAGATATTTGTGAGTTACCTGAGAGCCTTTACTGAACCACTTTTTGGCCCAAACTTTGTTAGAGTGACAAGGCAAGACCCTGGCCAGATGCACCATCCCAGAACAAATGACTGGGCCATGTCTTGCTCATTTTCCCAGCCCTGAAATTAATGCTGAGTGAATTCTGCTTAAACTACATAGTAAGGAGGAGGGGAAGGATGAAGCCCTGGGGGAAAATTGGGATTGCTGGTCCGGGAAAGGGGAGGTGAGGCTGAGCATGCAAAGGTAACATGTCCACTTCTCCCTTCCTCTCAAGGGCTGTCGTTAGCCTCCTGTGGCACCAGTACCCTGGCAAGCTCTTTAATCCATGACTTGCTTCTAATAGATTTTCTTTAAAAAGCTGAATTAAATAATGCATTTCCCCTTCAGGAGCTCCTCAGGGGGTTCTCATGGTTATTTCAGCAGCCTTGGCTTAGCTCCTTCTCTAAATGGTTAGTTTGAAGCTTACTGCACAGCTTGGGGTCATAGGGTGTGCTTGTCATTGAATTCCTTTGCTTTCTCCAACTGAGAGTTGGCTGCTATTTGCACACAATATAATGATGGAATATTAAGGAATTCTGGTCCTTATAGCTGTGGTAAAATGTAAAGAAATAGGAGAGAAGGAAGACACCCAGGGTTTGCCACAGTTATGCCACTTCCTAGCTCTTTAGGAAGGATACTGCCATCCCTGGAACCTTCTTTTCCCAGCTGAACACACTAGACTGGGTGACTCAGTCCCAGGCTAGTTGTAAAAGGTCAAGAAATCTAAAGAGAGAAGGTCTCAAAAGCAAAACTATTGGGATTCTAGTGACATCTGGTGGTTGCCCTGATTTTAAAACCTGAACATTTGTTTTTGGATGCCTGATTTTGTTTTATTGCGTTCTTTTTGGGAATCTTGCTTGTGCTATACAGTGCACATATTTTGCTGAGTTGTTTTATTTTTTTATTGTGTTTTTATATCTACTAGACTCTGCCGTTGGGCAATAAACTTTCGGCATTAATGAATGTCTGATTTTTTCTAGAATTCTGTGCCTTACGAGTTAGTGGTTTATCATATCCTCAGAAGTCATCATACCTAGGCTTGTTAATTGGAGCCCAGAAGCTCCAGATACATTAACTTCTTTTGTTCTCCTTAGAACTCTATGAAAACGAATACAATGGAGAAACCGTGGTCTACTGGCAAGTGAAGTACCCTTTTCCCATGTCCAACAGAGATGTATCCTTCCTACTTGGCTTTCTAAGTGTTTCTTGTGCCCCTTGGCCATAGCCCAATGGTAGCATGCCTAGCAGGTGTGGACAGCATTGTCCTTGATTCTTGTAGAAGCATATGCTAAAACTGTTGCTTCTTGTGTGACTTTTGGAGACCTTAGTGTGTGATGTCTGGGCTTGACCATGTGGAGCCTCTGTGATTGTGGTCCTGGAGGGCAGCTCAAACTTTCCTGAGAGGTGTTCTAAGGCTTGAAATTTTGGGGCCACAGAATTGGGGACCTGGAAAGAACTTTTTATAGAGTGTTTAATATATTCCCTCAATCCAGAGGTAGAAGTGGGCACCCAGAGAGATAAAGTAATGGAGGCGTAAGTATAGATGATTATTGGCCAAGTGGGAACTAGAATTCAGGCCCCTACTTTCCAGCTCTCCCCTTCTCCCCTCCTGTTTTATTGATCCCACATGATCCCTACTTGACTGTTGGCTCTACAGATTGGGTGTATATTTCTTCCCCTCATTTACCATTAAAACAGTTGAATGGAATGTGGGAAGTTTTAGCTGACATTCCAAGGTTCTAAGAAGCCCTCTCAGGACTAGCCTAGGAAGGGGGATGCAAATCTGAGGACAGGCAGGGAGGGGGCAGGATGACTGATAGGTGAGATTTCCACTCCTTCACTGTCCTCTTCAATCACAGCAGCAGAGTATGTTATACACTGAATTTCCACAGAAGATCCTGTCAACAAAGGGTTGTGTGGATAAAAAAAAAAAAAAAAGTTTGGAAACCACCCAACTGGATGATCACTGGGATCTCTTCTAGCTTTAGCTTTGTATAAGTCTGTATTTCCTACATAATTATTCTCTAGAAAGAAAAGGAGTGTGTTGCTGTGTTTTATGTATATTGTTTGTATGTGTTTTTGTGTCTATGTGTTTTCCTTGGTCCCAACTAGATTATAAACTCTATAAGGGCTTATTTCTTGTTCACATACTGCTAGGTAGCTTGTACAACATATGGTATGTATTTCAACAAATTGTGGATTAAGTAATCCCTTAGATTTTATGTGGTTTTCCCTGATCCTGCCAACATCTGTGCAAAGTAAGTACCATCATCCTCATTTCACAGTTAAGGAAACTGAGGCAAAGAGAAGTCCAGAACTTTGCTCTGGTTAACAACTAGTGGGTGGCAGAGGCAGGTTTGGAAGCACATCCAGTTATTTCCAGAGGTGGTGACCTTGATCAGGCGGTGACCATGATCCCATCTCTCTGACCTCAGTGTGACACTGATGGTTAGGTCTTAGGGGTAGATACTTGGGACCACTTCAAGTTCTATATATTTGGCTTTCCAATACCACACAATCTGATGATGAGTTTTTTAATCTTACTATGTGCATGTCTCTCCACTAGTGGTTAAATTTTTGAGAACAGAGAATAGTGCAGAGGAAAAGAACATTCATTTGGAGCCAAAGATCCCAGACTGAATGTGAGCTCATTCTCTGATTTATTGTGTGACTTTGGAAGTCCCTTCACTTCTCTGGGCCTCAGTGAACTGGTGGTTCTCTGGTCATAAGCCCTCTGGTAGGCTGGACCTTCCAACTTTTTGAAGACTCTGCCAAGTTTTAATCAATACATCAGGTTGATTTTTCCTCAATGAAGTGTCAGGTGATACCTGTCACATGAGATGAGCAAGTTTTGAGAGAAAGCGGGACAATTTTTGTTGTGAGGAAAAAGTAAAAGATCTTGATGTCAGACATCCAGAGCCAAAGCAACATCATATCTCCCGCAAAACATTTAAGAACTTTACTTGTATGTCCCCAGAGTTGGGGGCAGTAGCATATCCTGCAGGGTGCCTGAGTGAGGGCTGGGACCTGTGGGTGCTGCAGAGATTCTGCTGTGGCATGGGGTTATGGTTGCTGCTGTTACAGTGAGTGTATTACGTTATACTTAGAATTTTTTTAAAAATTACTATTGTTTAGGCTTTGAATTCCTTCTAGTGTGAAACCTAAAATTCCGTTGAGATCTGTCCAGCTATGAAAGTCCAACTAGGTTTCGGAGCCAGATCTGGTTTTGCACTCAGGTTCCAGTTGAGCGATGGGATCTTTGGCAAATTTCTTTACTTCTTGGAGCTTTAATATTGTTATCTGTAAGATGAGGATACTTACACCAAATTCAGAGGGACCTTTTCAGAATCAAAACTGATGCTATATGTAAGGCTTATGGTAAGGGTTTAATAGATGGTAACTCTCACTGTTTCTTAGGAGTCAGTTACCTTCCCTATTATAGTACCATAGACATAGTGAGTCCTCTGTGTTTATAGAGATGAAATGGTTTGGTTATTCTTGGTGGTTAACCAATGTTAACCCAGAGAGGACTTCTGCCTACTAAATACTCAGGTTCTCATGCTCTTCCTCTGACCACTAGGTGTAAGTAACATTGCTTGACCATCCTCTGTGCATAGAGGTCACTAACCAGAGCTTTGCGGGAGGGCAGGACAAAGTGGAATGACTCCAGTGTTTATCGAGTACTTATTCTGCCCCAGTCTTTCTCCAGTGCCCCCACCAAGCTTGCCCGCTGGGGAATATAGCCCCCTTTCCCTACAGAAGGAAACTCAGCTTCAGAAAGGTTGAGTAACAAATGCAGAATCACACCGCTGGTGAGCAAGCAGTCCCTCGTATCTCATAGTGCCTTCTTAGAGAAAGGAGGAGTAGTTTCCCTGTATAATTGAAAGCCTCAAGGAATCATTCCCAAGTAGGTAATGCATGCTGTCAAATGAGAATATCAGGTTGTATGGGGCACCGTCTTTCAGTGCAGGTAGGGACACAGGGCTGAGAAATGGAGGAACCATGAAAGGGAGCAAGGGCCAGTTGGGAGGAATAGAATCATCTCACTTTGCTTCTGGCTCGTAGGGTTTCCTTTCGACCATCTGAAATGCTGGCATTGATATCATGCCTTGACTAACAGTATAGTACATCTACATCCGGCAGCGGCGAGACCTGGACATGGACGGGCAGAAGATCCACGTAGTCCTGGCCCAGAGCACCTCTGTGCCACAGATTCCTGAGAGGTCTGGTGTGGTCCGGGTGAATCAGTATAAGCAGAGCCTGGTGATCAAGAGTGATGGCAAGAAAGGGAGCAAAGGTGAAGCTGGGGAGCGTGTTGGCAAAACAGCTGGGGCCACCATTTGTAGGCCATACTGACTGTTAGGCATGTAAAATAAATGATGCTTATTCTCTGAGGTCAGAGAATGGGCACGAGTATAGAACAAACAAGGAATCAAAACCTGGGGAGAGACTTACTTCACCCCCCAGAAACCTGGCTTGAGTGCACGGTAGATGTTTAAATCTGACTCAGCCCATTCTTTATGGACTCCTGCATTGCCCAGAGGAAATCAAACCATGAGGTGTAGAAATTCACTTCAGGCTAGTTGTGGGGATACATACATCGGGCCTCGGGGGTAGGGTGGTAAGGGGGATGGCATGACTGCCCCTGAGGACAGAGCTCCTGCTCAGCAGACTCAGGACCTGCCTGCCTCGAGTTCCAGCCTGCACAGAGAAAAGCTGTGAGTAGAGCAGGGGCAACCAGCCACTCGCCCTATGGGAATCGGTGTGGCTTTGTGTGTGAGGCAATGTCTGAACCATAATTCTGAAGCTGTTCATATCTGTCACCTTGGACATGCCACCCAACTGCTCTGAGTCTTCATGTTGTCCTTTTTAAGTGGGGGTTTAATCTTACCAACTCCCTTGTACTATTAAGATAATTAATGAGAGAAATGATTAAATGAGAGACTATATCCAAGTGTCTAGCACTTGACAGGCATTTAATAAGTAGCAGCAAAATGTGCATGTGGCTATGTTTTCAAAAATGTGTGTGTATATATGTATGTACATAAACATATGTATATATACACCCACACACATACATATATACATATTCTGGGAGGCAAGGCAGAGGAGAGAAGTTCTCCTGAATCCCATGTTCCCTCCCTCCTTACTTTTGGGACCTGAAGATAGAGGGAGAATCTTTGCAGGGTTTATTGTTGTCTTTCTAACATTTTTCCTCCTCCTGATTTTCCTTTCTAGTTTTCATGTATTACTTCGATAACCCGGGTGGCCAAATTCCTTCCTGGCTCATTAATTGGGTCGCCAAGGTGAGATCCCAGGAGGCAGGCGGGGGGAAGTGTGTTTGACAAATGTTGACTTAGCCCACAGGACTGTCAGACTGAAGAGACACTGTTGTCTCAGGCCTAATGAGGCTCTTTTATGAAGCACCTTGGTTGAGTGACTACAGTTGGGACTAAGGGTGCCAACACCCAGGATGTGAAGGCTGGGACAAAAGAGAAGAATCCTTAGCTGGAATGTTAGACCTGCCCTACCAGCAAGACCCTGCCAGGATCACTCTCTGCATCCTCCAGATAGTAGCCTTTTCTTGTAGGAAAAATGAAAAATGTGCCTTTTGAACCTCTGTCTGCTTATGGAGGGAGGAATCTGACAGGCCAGCCTGGCTTGAGAGACAACCAGATGTGTCCAAGCTTGGAAGCCTCCAGTTTTGTTATTGTTGTTTTGTTTCTCTGTAAGGAGAGGGGACTGCAGTAGGGGCTGGATTGCTGGAGACTGCCGAAGAACCTGGCTTTATGGGAACCATTCAGTGCTTTGTAGGAGTCCTACTTACTGCTGGGAGGGCTCAGCACATTCCCTGGGAGACTGCAAAGCGCACAGGCTTTGAGTCAAACACGTGTGATTTTGAGTCCTTGTCCTGCTTCTGTCTGTATAATCTAGGGAAGCTGTTGATTTCTTCCCTGTGGAAAATGGGGACGGGTATTACCACCCTGTAGAGTAGTGGCAAGTAAGGAAGTATCTGGGGAATGTCTTGCACAATGCTCAGCATGAACTAAGAAATAACATAGTCTACCCTTTGCCCCACACCCTCACCAGTTCCTAATTCTGTAAAAGAAGTCCTTTCTATGATTACTAGGTTAGAATCCCAAAAGTCCAACCCAATACCATTTCCTGTGATTTTTCTTTTAAAAAAATAGTCTCTCAAAATCATCTTATCTTTTTACTAGCAAAAACCAAGATACGTAACCGTGTCTCACCTGTGCCTTGGGTCTTCTGTCATATTCTGCAGAAATCGGACAGGGGCCCTATTGTCATATTTATCATTCTCAGAGTCATCTTTGTTTACCTTTGCCATAGCCTAAAGAATCAGGAATAATGACCATGAAGACATAGAAGTGACAGTCTCCTTTGTTTTGTAGAATGGTGTTCCTAACTTCTTGAAGGATATGGCAAAAGCCTGTCAGAAATACCGCAAGAAAACCTAAGAAAGGAAATCGTGTGTCCATGGAACGATGATCTGGGAGTGCCACAGCCCACCGACGCTCAGCTTTCCTTTCACTTTTCTGTCTTCAGAGGCCTGCACACTGTCCTGCACGTCGTCCCTGAGTGTGTTTGCCTGACGCCTGGCTTCCTTTCCCACTCCCCACCCCGGGACTGGCTGCCTTCTCCCACTATTGAATATGGGTCAGATTAGGGAAACTTTTGCTTGTTTATTTAAAAAAAGGGAAGTCCTCAATAGAGAACACAGTCATTCCATTGTGCCATTTCAGGGGGATGGGTGGGCGGAGGAACCATGACAATGCAAGAGCAGCCGGTCCTGCAGAGCTGGCTCCTTCCCGGAATGTGGCTCCTCAAAACCCGGAAGGGGCTGCTGGGAGCCCCATCCCCTTCAAAATGGACTGTCCGTGCACCAACACTGGAAGACACTGGCTGATGTCCGTTTGCCTTATGCTTTGGTGTGCTGATCTGGCTGGGGTTTGAGGTGATAATCCAGGAGGTGTTTCTGCCGTTCCTACTTGTGGAGGATCATGAGCTGTTCTGATTTCAAACCATTCTGAAAAACACTGCAGGCCTAAGCACTAAATGTAAGAACCATTTTTTTTCTCATCATCCGTATCTGGATTTCTTTTTCCCACATCCACTGGTACTACCTCTGCATTTTATTGGAAACTGAGGCATCGATGACTCTGGCAGTTAGCAAAAGTCAAGATGCTCTGCACACAGCACTGTGATAAAGTGTCTTTCTAGGCAATAAAATGAATTTCCCTTCTAGAATGTTTAGCAATATTGAACAGATAATAGTTCACAGTCAGGGAAATATTAATTAGTGGATTAATTGACTCTACACTTTTTCTCAGGAATTCTACCTAAGTTGCCTGCCTCTTCTACTACCAAAATACTTCCTGTTTTCTGTTTTCTCCTGAATTTTGGTAAGGCAAAATATTGTGTGGCTAAAAGCACAGCCTTCATGATCTCAGGGAATAATTTTAACCACTGTGTGATGGTACTGAGCCTTAATTAGAGGTCACAGAAATTCAGGATGTAAATCCAGAAGCAGAGGATTTATTAAAATGGGACACATCAGACTATATGTCTTCTCTCTGGGAAAAATAAATTGAATACCAATAAATACAGAATGACTTAAAATTATCCTCCTTGCAGCTTTCTTCCTACCTTGTTCCTTTTGTGAGATGGAATCAGTAAGGTCTCAATTGTTTGCAGGGCACATCCAACCTAACTAATGAACTTGAACATAGGAATTTTAGGTACACCTGCATGCAAGGCCAGGTGCAGAGTGGCCTCACGTTCGGGTTGATACAGGTGCTCAAACGGACATTAAAATCTGGCGACGTTCATCTTCAGGTTATCTTTGATGTTGGGCTGTGTCTGGTGGCAGGACTGCTGCTGACAGCAAAAGGTAGGCCTGCATCTTCCCAGGCTCATGCTGAGCCAAAAAGACAGCATTTCTTCCCAGCAGATCCCACACCATTCTATGACTTTCTCTCAACCATGTGCCTGTCCCTTCCCTAGTCACTGTGCTCACATAGATAGATTTATGCAAATAACTGACTACCTCATATATTTACCAATTTAAAAAATATCAGTAATATTAACAGTAATGTACCTGGCATTTAATGTTAGGTAAATGAAATCTAAATGTCTTTTGTAATAGAGGGTCAGGTTGAAATTTTAAGTATAGAGTCACTGGAACACATGCACTACAGTTACAGTTTTTGAGCACAGAATCAACATGAATTGATGTCATGCAACCCATGTCTTTAAACAGCGTTTGAGAATTTGTTAAGAACTACAGAAATGCTACGAATATGGGGTGTCTAAGTATTTACAAAAAAAGAGAGTTTGCAATAATCAGTAGAGTTTTGACCTTTTGGCATTTACGTGTGCTAATCTGAAGACCACAGACTACACAGCATTGAAATACGAGGTTATGTGGGAAACAGAACCTGTGAGGCAATAAGCAAATGCCAGAGATGCAGAAAATGTAGAACTGGTGCTTTAGAGGTTTTCCTGATTCCTCAGGGTATGCCTCTCTACAAGGGCTGGGTGTATCATTTGGAATTTGGAAGTTGCAAATGTTGTACACTTGTTTTTCCATGCCTGTCTCTCCAAATAGATAATAAGATCTCTGTGGGTAGAAAGAGTTATTTCACTTTGATTATTGCCCCCTAGGGGACTACACAGTAGGCACTCAAATGAGTGACTAAATAATTTAGAGAAGATGAACTAAATGACACACACCCAGAAGGCCAGGTCCATCCAGACATGGAGGTTTAATTTGATTACCTTAAACAATAATTACTATTATTTAATAATTTAATTCAGGCCAAATTATTTCCCCAAGTCATCATTTTTTGGGGGAGGGGGTTCTAGATTCCTCAGGCTCTTTCTCATTGGTCCTTTATTTGTTAAAGGGTGGCTTCACTGGTATAGTTATAGGTTATTTTTTAGTGTTATGTAAAAGGCACAGTGTGGACTGAGTCCAGTTGAGATTAGTCAGGATCACTATTATTATTATTATTATTACTATTATTTTGAGAGAGTGTGGGCACATAATCAGGGAGAGGGGCAGAGGGAAAAGGAGAGATAGAATCTTAAGCAGGCTCCATGCCCATCATGGAGCCTGAAGCGGGGCTCCATATCATGACCCTGAGATTATGACTGGAGCTGAAATCAGCAGTCAGACACTTAACCAACTGAGCCACCTAGGCGCTCCAGGATTTCAGGATTTTAGTGAAAAAGTAGTCCAACTACTGTTGGACCTAATTTTTCCACAGGCGAATTATTCACACTGCATACCAGTAAGTTATTGACCACACTGGAATTGAGGGGCTCCAGCAAAAGGTCACTTCCCTTGAAAATGTTCCTATTTCACAGTGAGAGTCCTCACCCAGAGTCGCTATCTACAATGCTGTCCTTCAAACCTGCTTCCCAGCTGGATTTGGGAGACACAAAGCAGAAAGAACCCATTCAGTTCTCATGTTTCTGGTAGCACGAGAGAATTATACTGATATACTATCAGTCAGGTCAGAGAATTATACTTGAAAGTGTCGAGACGTGCATTCACCTAACAGATATATCTTGAGTGTGGTGTCCACCCGGCAAAGGGATAGACATGGGAGTTCCTGTGATGAATGAGACAGACTTGGTGTCTACCCTCAAGGAGCTTAAGAAACTGGGCAGGCTGTTGAAAGACTGGTGAGCTTTGACACAGGGCAAGTAAAGTATGCCAGATGTTGTAAAACTGGGGGCACTAACCAAATTTGAGGGGTCAGGGAAGAACACGTTGTACTTGGCTGCATGAAGGTTGGAGAAGAAAACTGTTTTGCATGTAAGGAACTATTGGCATAAAGCTCCTCCAGCAGGAGAGCCAGTCATATGTGAGGAACCACCAAAGCCAGTATGGCCGAAGCAATGGGTGTGAAAGAAAGGCACCTCACCCATGACTGAAGAACACAGGCCATGGGTGATTGTGAGAGCCATGATTTGAGACTTTATACTCAGAACACCAAAAAGCTTTGAAGGATTTTAGCCTGACCTAATATCAGCATTGACCTGATGAATTTATTCATTCTTAATGGCTGCTCATTCCCCCTGTCCCCCACCCAGAGTTCTTTCTTCACCACCTCTAACTGTCCCTCCAACACCATGGGCATATTCTCCGCAGTGCTTTAAGCCTTGACAGTTGGAATGCTCTTCACCAGCGGGCAGCAGGCAGAGTAGCCCACACCCACATCTAGATTGCAAAGTGGAGCATCAGCCTCTGAAGTCTAACCAGAAAAAAAGAGAGGCAGGGAACATCCACGCACATCCCCTCTGTCTCTCCCGGCCCATGCTGGCATATATGACATACCCTCCAATGGCTGTATCATGCAGCCCACGTGAGCAGAGCCATTTCAAGATCCAGAAGACGGAGAGAAAAAAGAAAGGCATAAAAAATACAAGCATGCCTGCTTTTTCCAAAGCTGCTTTTTCTACACTCCTGCCCAACTACAAAAGAAGAGCTTTTTTTTTTTTTTTTTTTTTCTTGAGAAGACAGTGATATTGTTTAGGTTCTCAGAGTTTAGAACAAAACGGGGAGGCTTCAAGTCATTTATATTGCTAATCTATGTGTATTTTTGTATGTCTGCGTGGGTACACAATGTACTCCGTTTCATAAGATATAATAATGGAACAACTAAGTGGCATTAACATAAGCCAGGTTCCATGTTAGACAGCGGAGTTCATAAAAGTAGAACACATTCTTCTACCAGGGAATTAGCAGTCTAGAGAGCATGTGACATATATGCACAGTTCATGATAATGAATGTGATCACCAGCTTATGAAAAGAAAACATGCGGTATTTTAGGGGTTTGTGGCAAACTGCTGTTAAAAGAAGACAACAGGTCCAAAATGGAATTGCTTATGCTAAGCACCACTCACCAAAGGAAGATTTAACTTGACTACAGTTATGGCTCGCCCAGAAATGAACTCTTAAACCTGTCCAGTCAGGTTTTTAAGATCAGGAATCATCTGATCAGCGCTAGTTGGGTAATCTGCCTGATAAACCCCTGCCATCCCCTAAAGGAAAGTGACCTTGTAATAACCAACCTGCTTTGCTGTGTAGCATAACGTCCTTGTTCTCCCTCCCTTCTGCCTCCGTCTTTTTATCCTGTACAGCTCCTCAGAGCTCTTTTCTCTGTTCGATTGGATGCTGCCCAATTTGAGTCGACTTTTGTTCAAGCAAGCTCCTAAACGTTTTAATGTGCCTCGGTTTATCTTTTAACAGCTCTGGTCAGAAGAGGAAACAGAAGGAGACCCTCCACAGGCCCCTGGAGCAAGCAGCAACCAGGCTCCCCTACCTGGTGCGGCCCCTGAGCTTGCTGCTCTTCCACTCCCTAGGGAGGTTTAAGGCCCTCTTGGATCCTGGCTCTGCAGCTTTGCTTTCAGGCTTCTTTCTGCGGACTGAGTCCGGACACCAGCTGGAGTCAAGACGGGCCCTGTTTAGAAACTGGACCAGGTGCTGGATCAGCCTGGGTTTGACTTAGAAACTAGAAAAGACCAGAGGAAGGCCGGGTCCAACTTAGATCCTTGAGCGAGTCTGAGAAGCCTGGGCCAGACTTGGAAAACAGAGGAACTCTCTTCCGGCCCGTGTCTGTCCTAGAAACCGGAAGCGCACTGGGTCCCACTCAGAAACCAGACCGGGCTGGGGCGGACTGGGTACCCCTTAGAAGCTGGACCCAGTGGGGGCCGACCGGTTCCGTTTAGAAACCAAACGGGGCGAGAACAGATTGCGTCCCCCTTCGAAACCGGACCCGGCGAGAGCAGACTGGTTCCAGATTAGAACCCTGCGTCAGTCTGAGGAGACTGGGCCCGACTTAGAAAACGGAGCAGGCCCGAGGTGGCCTAGGTCCGTCGTAGAAACTGGGAAGGCCCACTTAGAAACCGGACCGGGCTGGGGCGGACCGGGTCGGCTGAGAAGCTGGACCGGATGGGGGTGCGTCAGGTGCCCTTTAGACGCCGGACCGGATGGGGGCGGGCTGGGTCCAGCCTAGAGACCTGACTGCTCAGAGCCGGGCGGTGACCCGCGGGAGGCCTCAGGTGAATAAAAGGTAATTTGGCTATAATCCCTAGGTGAATGTATCCCTTTGGGTAAATACCTAGTAGTGTAATTGCTGGATTGTAGATTGTAGATAGTAGTTCTATTTTTAACCTGCAAAAATTAATTTGTAAGGAGTTCTACTTAATTGGCTTAAAGACAGATAAGCATTACATAAATACACTCTCAGAAATACAGAAAGTAACCCAAATAATTTGCAAGTTCACATGATCTATGACAGTCCTCAGGAAATAAAAGCTAGTTTAAGTTTATTGGTTTAATTAAAACAGGAATATCTTTAGAGTTATCAGTATTAAGTATAATACTTTTATTCTGTTTCAGCTTACTAAGAGTCAAATACACTCATGTTAAATTCACATCAAATTCTGTCACAGAGTTTGTTAGCAAGAAAGGTAACTTTAGATGGTTAGCTATTTCATGTCTCCTGAAATTTTTGTGAGTAATCTAAAAATAATTATTATGAACAAGTAAATTAAGTAGATTTGAGTAAGCCAAAAGTTTATAAATGATCTTTATAAATAA